AATTGATTCTAATTTTTGAAAGAGTCAGGCTAGCTTCCTGAAAATCAGTTCACTGAAAGTTAATTTACCAACAGGAAAATGTACCCAAAACAAATTCACCAAATAAGCAATTTGCAAAGCTTCATTTTCCCTTTTAACAATTTATGTTCTAAGAGTACTACATGTATATGTTAGAAAAAGTATAGAATACATATTAACATAAAGCAGGAAATAAAAAAAATCCGTATTTCCAACACCCATAAATAACTACTGTTAAGATTTGAGTGTATAATGTTTGATGTTAGGTTATATTGTATATACTGTGGAGAAAAAAATCTAACCCACCGCTCTGCTTCTGTAAATTCCGCTCGCTCAACCCTACTCCCTCCCCTTGCTGGCGCTGCTCGCTCAACCCTACTCCCTCCCCCGCCGGCGCCACTCTGTAACTCCCCAGCCTTTAGTCCTTGGACACTACTGACCAAGATTAGAAATTAGACATGAGCTCATCTGGTACATGTTTGTGCAAGGTCGAAGCCCATGAAACTTTCCCCCCACCCTGTGACCCCTAGCCACCTGCGTGTGGTTTCTGTCTATAAAAATCCTAAGGAAAAAAGGTCGGGGCGGCAAGCTTCCTTAGCTCGCTTGCCCCCGCGCGCGCTGGTAAATAAATCCTCATGCTATTGCATCAAGTCTCTGGACTCTGAGTCTTTTCGAGCGGCCGTCTCTCCCCCACACGGGCTGTACATCTCTGCGGCCCAACAATACCACCTTGAAACATTTTTTTTTTAATTTCAGAATATTACAGGGGTACAAATGTTTTGGCTACATGAATTGCTTTTATACAGTTGAAGTCAAAGTTATATGTGTGCCCATCACAAGATAGTGTGCATTGTACCCATTAGGTGTGATTTTACCCATCCTTTCCACTCCCCTCCTACCTGCTTGATTTCTGTTGAGTTTTACTTCCATATATGCACATGAGTGTTGATTCCTTAGTTCCAATTTCATAGTGGGTACATGTGGTGTTTTATATCATTGGCATCTTTTCATGTCAATAAATAAACTTCAACAGCATTCTTTTTTTCTTGCTCTTGCTCTTGCTCAGGCTGATCTTGAACTCCTGACCTCAAGCAATCCTTCCTTCCCCTGCAGTGCTACGATTATAGGTGTAAGCCAGTGTGCCCAGCCCAATTTTTTTTTTTTTTTGAGACAGAGTCTCGCTTTGTTGTCCAGGCTAGAGTGAGTGCCCTGGCGTCAGCCTAGCTCACAGCAACCTCAAACTCTTGGGCTCGAGTGATCCTTCTGCCTCAGCCTCCCAAGTAGCTGGGACTACAGGCATGCGCCACTATGCCCGGCCAATTTTTTTTATATATATATCAGTTGGCCAATTAATTTCTTTCTATTTATAGTAGAGACGGGGTCTCGCTCTTGCTCAGGCTGGTTTTGAACTCCTGACCTTGAGCAATCCGCCCGCCTCGGCCTCCCAAGAGCTAGGATTACAGGCGTGAGCCACAGCGCCCGGCCCCAATTTTTTAATGTTTTGAATTTTAGCTGTCTATAATGGGTGTTCTGCTGTGGATAGAAATAAATTTGGAAGTCATCAGCAGATATGAGACATGATAGTGGACAAAATATTTTGGAGAGCATCAATAGAATGCCAAGAGAAGGAAGCTGAGCATAGAACACTGTGGAAAATCTACGTTTAGCTCTTGAAGGAGACTGAGAGGTGGCCAGAAGCTAGAGGAAAAGCAGAAGGGTGATGTGTCTTGAAAGAGAAGAAAAATGAGTATTTTAAGAAGGAGTTAGCTATCACCTGTATCAAGTAAAAAGGGATTGAAAAGTATCCACTGAGCTTGACAACATCTGGTTTGCTCTATTCAAGAATATTATATCATATGTAAGGCAGGGTTTAATTTTCCTTTTATAGAGGAGGAATTTCCAGCAAAGACAACTTAGTGGCTTGTCCACGACTGTTGACCAGAGCCAGGTCTTAGGACTGCTAAGCCTTGGGTCCATATAGGATACCACATTGTGTCTTGATTTAAGCTAGTCACTAAAATAAAGTTACTGAGAGAGACCTTTGCAAAATATTGGAACACATCACTGAGAGTGTGTGTGGCTTTCCTTTCCAGAAGAAGTCTTTAGAAATTATAAACAGCCTCTTTGATCCTGCAATTAAGATTATAGAGGAGTCCATCCAACAAGAGAACTTTGCTACATTGCTTTCTTTACATTGTTTGGTTTCTTTGCACATATAAGACATTTAATTTAATTTTATTATTAGTTAATTAAGATATCTATTATGCTTAGAATAATGTCCCTGCTTTTACTCATCAAACCACATATTCTCTTCCAGTAAGTTGCACTTGAAGGTTTTTTTAGGTTTGTCCGGATTAATCCCACCCATATTGTGCTTCCTAGCACAGTCATGATTTCTTTTGTACCCTTTATACTTTGTGTAAATGATAGATTTCACAGCATCTTTGTATAAATTAGCACTTCTCCTGAATTTAAGTCCCTTAAGAAAAAGAATTCAGTTTTGAAAAGTTTTAAGTTGCTTGACAGTTCTCTAGCTAAACCCTTTGGAGCAATTTTTGCCACTTAGTTACTTTTCCTTTGCCAGCACCTATAAGAAAGGGGGAGGTTTCTTCTACAAACATTTTGACCCTGACAGGCAGAAATCTTCTGGCGTCATTGTTGTTTCAGTGTCAATGTTAACATACTGGAGACTTCTAGGTTAGTTTCAGTAAACCTAGTTATGTGTAGCTCATATTATTTTTTTTTGCTGAGAATGAAATGTTTGCTTATCAAAACTTCTCATGAATTATTTCAGATAGTAAAAAAAATTCCTGGAATTAGGCTTGCAATATGGATTTTTATTGCATTATATTTATAGGCAAATCCATTATATTCAGCAAGTTTTTGAGGAGCATCTATAAATGTATTCATTATCCAAAAAATATTGGATGTGTTAGTGTACCCCAAAGCTACAGGATTTAGAATTTTCCTTGAGAAGGTTTTACTCTCATTGGGATTTATGGAATATAGTCTTGAAATAATTAATGAATAATATACCATTTTATCAGACTAAGCATAGTAAGACTGATATGGAAAAATGAGTAAATGAGAGGACAAGAGAATGACTTAGTTCAAGGTTATTTTTCAGTTTTTCTTCCCATGAAACCCTTGGTAAACATATTTATCCTTCACTTTTCAAATTCTCTCTACATTTGGCTTCTGTGACATTTTATAGAGTCAGCTAATATTTACTAAATGAAAGTTCACTAGGGCATAATTTATCTCCATAAACATCTGAAAATTTGATATTATTATTATTGTTTTTTAGACAGGGACACTGAGTCTTAATTAGGTTAAATAACTTATTAATGATCAGGTTCATCCAAGAAATGAAGAGATGAAGAATACAGTTGGGATTTAATTCCAGATTTTATTTTTATCACAAAGTCTTGCTCTCAGTTGCTACACTTGCTTTTTTTTTTAGATGACAATTCCTTTAGTCAATTTCCTCCCTCCATTATCTGTTGGCATTTTTGAAAGAGTCAATCCTTGCTCCTGATTATTCTGTTTTTAAGCAGTTGTTCTTACAGCAATTTCCCCCTTTTTTAATGATCACCTCTATTCAGATGATTTCCCAATTTGCATCTTCTTTCCACCAAATCTCTGTTCTTCAGTTTTCTACCTATTTCTAATCATTTTTGTTTGGAGGCCCTGCTAGCATTTCATAATTTTGTATAATAATTTCATAATTCAGCCCTTCACCTTCCTTATTTCCATTCATTTCATTCTGCTCCCATTTCCCTGGGTTTGGAAACTTAATCAAATTTGATTTGTGCCTCTTCCACCCTGTTGTTCTCTCTCAAACCGTAGAGATACAAAATGCTGTTTTACATTTCATCATAATATCATAACATGTGGTGGCATTCATCTTTTTTTGTTCCTACTCTTGGGTAAAAACCTTTGAACTGATTTCCCTGCCCTCTGTCTCTTTCTGTTCCAGCCTGTTCTGAAACTACTTTCATCCAAGGATATAATTATTATTATTACTCTAATAAATAATAGGTATATTTTATTTTGTTAATAAAAATTAAAAATAACAGTAATATACTTAAACCATATAATTGTTATTTATATAGTAATAATAAACTACTTTTTGTGTTTCTTTGTGCCAGAAGGTACATTATTTATTCACTAAAACAATTCTTTAAGTTGTGATTATTTTCCTCATTTAAGAAGAGTATCAGAAACTCATAAAAGAGTTAAACAGATTTCCCAAGATCACATAGTTAGTAAGTGGCAGAACTAGATTTGTGCTGAGGTCTACCAGGTTGCAAAGTTCATGCTCTGAATGCTTATTCAACTAAGATACATTTCAAAGTGAGAGGGAGGCTACTAATAATTTTTCTGAGTTAATAGGTGTAACTGGTATGGTCCTAGAAAAAGCAAAACTTAGAACAACTTTATAAATGCTACAGTCTATTTTCTCATCATTGATTACAGCCAAATAAATTAAGAGAGTGATTGAGAGGACATCTATTAATACTTCTGGGGAAAAGAGGATGTGTTCATCTTTGTACTCAAGTTTAGGGATGACTACAGAACAGTCTTTTGGACAATGGAGACATAGGAAAGGAGCTTAACAGGGAATTAAGAAGTAAAGACATAAATTTGGAAGTCATTCATATAGAGGAATTGTTGAAGCTATGAAACAAATGAGCTCACCAAGAATTTAAGGAAGCAGAAAAAGTGTGGAAGATTAGGAACTGAATCCCGGTAAAGGTGAAATATGAAGAGACTGAAGTAGGAAGAAGAGCCAGTATGGGAGATGTCTCTATTATACTATAAGTTTTTTTCTGGCACAAGCCATGCCTTTTGTAACTCTGAACCTTGCATATTACTATGTATTGTTAAATATACTCATTAAAGTCAATTTAACATTAAATATGCAAATCCATATAACTACTGATAGATTAATTTAATTTTACCTATTAATACTTTCTCAGGAGCTAATTGAGGCTATTTCCATGAAGTCTTCTCAACTGCCATCTCGTCTTTCTGGCCAGGTTTGTGCTTCTTATTAAAGTTGGGAACCTAATGAACTTCATGATTGGCTTGGGATCACACTTTTGCAACTTGATGATCTACTGGGAGTCTGAGAGAGCTAATGCACATGCATGATATATATATGCAAATATGTTTTATTGTATGTGAATCTTCACATGCTTTGGAATGTTACATCTATAATATTAATATATTGTTCAAGTAAGAAATAAATACAAGAAGGAAGCCATCTTCAGAGATGCAAGTTTTGGAAGTTGACAGTACTACACCAATGGAAAAAGGTCAAAATAGTTGTTTTTTTTTTTGAATGCTGCTTCTACTGGAGCGAATCATCAGATAGCATGGCTTTAGAGAAGCCCTGCATAAGATGCATTTGGAAATGAAGTTGTCATGGCAACTGTCTCTGGAGTAACAGACAAAATCCCCATAGAGCTTAGAGAACTCTCAACGTCTTCTTTGCACTTGGATCTCAAGGACAGCCTGCCTTATGGACTTATTTTAATTTTATTTTAATGAATTGCTTTTCTCTGTTTGTAACTTTTGTGCAGTAGGGCTGAGACAAGGATTGGGACTCTAACTAGAGTCACTCTGGGATGTGGACAATTCCAAGTGTAAAGTGACAGATGAGCACCGTCATTGCAGAGACTGAGCTGAAGGTGAGCAGGTCCTCACTGATGTGTGTGAACATGCACAGGCCTCAGTGCAGTGCTTTTAGTTGGGCTTGCCTGGAAGAAGATGGACTTTTGCTTTTGTGTCAAGATCTTATAACTTCTCTGAGAATATTTCTCCTGTTAACCTGGGACCGAAAACATATCTAACCCGCTGGCTATGAAATCTGTCATCCTTAATCCACAAAAGCCCCTGGTTAGGGCCGTAGAAGGCAAGTTGCCACACAAAACTTTATTAGTCTCTGTATTAATAAAATCCCTTCCTGAAAACTGTTGTGACAGTGTGTTAGTTTAGAAAACCAGGACTGGTATCTGAATACAATATTGTGTATCATCAGTAACATACATTAAGTACCTTGTGATTGCTTAGGAAGCTCAGCAAAGCTCCCTTGGCCATATAAAATTTGGAGTTGGACAGACCAGTGTTTGACTCAATATTCTGGAATCTATTAGCTATGTGTGCTCCTCACTTTTAAAGTGGAGATTAACAGGTCTAATTTATGAGGTTGTCACAAGAAATAAATGAGATAAAATCTTTGTACATTGTTGGATCCTTGGTGTTCCTATGAGGGTGCTGGGTCAGATATGGTGTTTGGTATACAGTAAGTGCTCAGTACAAGGTAGCATATTTTTCCCCACAGTGCTTCGCTCTTAATCATGCTTAAAAATGTAACTAGGATGAAAGAATAGGTCATTAAAAGCCACATGAAACATTATCAAGGGTGTAAACAAATCAAATATTTCTTCTTCCTTCGGGAAGATGGTCTCTAGGCAATGGTCCTGAGGGAGCCTCTATAACTAGCTCACTGAGGTCTCTAATCCAGAATGGAACTCTTTAGTCTCCTGTTATCTATGGTGTTAGGAAAGGATGCTGTCTCATCCCTGAAAGCGGTACAGGAAGCTCAAGGCAGAGCCACAATGGGAGTTCTTCAGCTCAGCAAGAGAACCAAGATAAACTAGATGTTTTGATTCTCAAAGTGTAGAAGCAGAAGCAGAGGGGTCTGAGCTCCAAGCTGTCACCTTTTCAGCAGGGCCTTTTGTGTCTCCATGAAAGAGATGGATGAGAGGCAGTAGAGACAGCACTGTGGCTCCAAGCTGAAGAGGGTGAGTTCCTGCCCGCCTGCCCCACTGGGTGCTGCAGCAGAGTGGCTAAAAGCTCAACCCAGGGGAGCCAGCCCACATGAGTCCACCTGCTGCTGCACGTTGGTAGCTTTGAGACTTTGTGCAAGTTGCTTAGCCCAGTGTCCTCATCTGTAGAATGAGGATAGTCATTATTACCACATGACATTTAGATATATTCAGTAAATGTTTCTTTTCTTTTTTCTTAGCTTTTAGTGAATGACTTTACATAATAATAATATCATATAACTCCATAGCCATGCCAGCTAACGACTCTGGGTGACACAGCTTCATGTTCCTGCTCTAAGAGTATAGGAACCAATGTGGAAGGTCTGGGCAAGGTCAAGTGGCTTCTGCCTCTCAAAAATCACTCCAGAGAAGGGGCCCAGGTCTTACCCACCTGATCAAGGGCCGGAGAGGGAAGCACATACACAGGAGTAGGCCATGGTAAGGGTTGGAGGCTTGTCCCAGCTCGACTAAAAGACCTCCTCAGTCGTACCAGCCTTCCCTCTGCAGGCAGACTTCATCCTCAGATAGTTACTGGGATGGTTAAAGCCACTTGGGGGACCATGAAAACAGACAAATGTGTAAGGAAATATTTTCCCAAGTTCAAAAATCTCTTCATTCATATGTCATTCTCAAGAATGGGAGGATTCTCTCTCTCTCTCGCTCTCTCTCTAAGGGACTCTTTCTTTTTCCCTTGCAGACCCTCCTAGAAGAGAATGGCTGCTGACAACTCCTCTTCTGTGACAGAGTTTATCCTCTCAGGCTTAACTGACCAGCAGGAACTCCAAATCCCTCTCTTCTTCCTGTTTCTAGGTTTCTACGTGGTCACCGTGGTGGGGAACCTGGGCTTGATAATCCTGATTGGGCTCAACTCTCACCTCCATATTCCCATGTACTTCTTCCTCTTCAACTTGTCCTTCATAGATTTTAGTTTCTCTGCTGCCATCGTTCCCAAAATGCTGATGAGTTTTGTCTCAAAGAAGAACATCATTTCCTATGCAGGGTGTATGACTCAGCTCTTCTTCTTTTGTTTCTTTGTCTTTTCTGAGTCCTTCATCCTGTCAGCGATGGCATATGACCGCTATGTTGCCATCTGTAACCCACTGTTGTACACGGTCACCATGTCTCCCCAGGTGTGTTTGCTTCTTTTGTCAGGTGTCTATGGGATGGGGGTTTTTGGAGCTGTGGCCCATACAGGAAATATACTGTATCTGACCTTTTGTGCAGACAACCTTATTAATCATTATATGTGTGACATCCTTCCTCTCCTTGAGCTGTCCTGCAACGGCTCTAACATAAATGTACTGGTGGTTGTCATTGTTGTGACCATTGGCATTGGGGTGCCCATTGTTGCCATTTTTATTTCTTATGGTTTTATTCTTTCCAGCATTCTTCATATTAGCTCCACTGAGGGCAGATCCAAAGCCTTTGGAACTTGCAGTTCCCATATAATTGCAGTTTCTCTTTTCTTTGGGTCAGGAGCTTTTATGTATCTCAAACCACCTTCTATTTTACCCCTGGACCAGGGGAAAGTGTCCTCCCTGTTCTATACCATTGTTGTGCCCATGTGCAACCCTTTAATCTATAGCCTGAGGAATAAGGATGTCAAACTTGCCCTGAAGAGGACCTTGGGCAGAATAAGTTTCTCTGGAAAAAAATTTTAGAAATGGGAAAAAGAGATCAAAGGATTTTTTATTAGTGTTTTTATTATGATTATTACTTTTTAATATTAGGAGTCCAAGCTACAGTGCTTTCTACACTATATGTAAGGAAAATTTTAACTCTTTTTTTCTGAGTGGATTTATTCTCCTCTACCTCCACTCCCAACTCTTCCTTTTTTATTTTATGAAAAAGTTTCTATAATTATGGAATATTCAATGCTGAATGGGGCTTAGGAAGCATTTCATCTAGTCCCTTTATATAATAAATCATACTTTGGAGACTGAGAAGTATTTTCATGTTGCCCAAGAACACAAAACTGCCTGGTACAGAGCTGGGACTAGAATCCCAGCTTGAATACGGATCCACTTTATTTTCCTTTATGCCATGTGTTCTTGCCTGATCTCTTTCTTGGGAAATTTCATTTCACATGTTAGTTGACATAACACATTTAAATTATGAATATATTCACAGTAATTTCATGCCATTTTTCACAGAATAATTTTAATATATCACATTTTGCAAGAACTAAGGAGATGGAACTTTTTTTTTGAGGTGATCTTGGCAAAATGACAAGATCGGTGTTTGATGAGTTTTGTAGTGCGTAGGTGGGAAGTATGTTAGGTTTCACATAGAAGCAAGCATGGTGCATACTGATTTGGTGGGTGGAGCTCTGCAGAAACAGTCTAGTCAGTGGACTAGAAAACTACGAAGGGAGAGAGAAAATTTTTAAGTGGGTAAAGATTCTGCGTGGAGGTGTCATATATTATTTTAAGATGAACAGAGGGAGTATTTGGAATCTCATTTTAAGCGTTAACTTGGATGTTAGAGATCTGATAAGAAAGTGTGTAGTTCAAGGTAATTGGGAGCTGCACTATACCATGCAGTAGTCACTAGTCACATATGGCTATTGAGCACTTGAAATGCGATCATCCATATTGAGACATACGATAAGTGTGCAATGTAAGTGTAAGATACACATTGGATCTTTGAAGAACTATTATGAAAAAAATAATGTAAAATATCTCGCTACTTTTTTATATTAATTATATGTTAAGATGATATATTTTGGATATTTTATGTTAAATAAAGTTTATAATTAAAATTTAAATTATATATGTGGCTTGCATTATATTTCTATTGCATGACACTGGTCTAGAGGAGGTCATGACACAATAGATAGTTTTGGGCACATATCAGGGTAGCACCAAGCACTTGCTTATTAGGAGAGGGAATTGCTATTGAATTGTTAAGCATTGCAGATATCCATGATATTCCAGTAAGATAAAAGATGAAGCAATGGTGATCTCTGGATAAGTTAATAAATCCACAGTATTATATAAAGGGAAACGTAGCTTTATATAAAGAATCAGAAGAACTTTTTGGTCTAAACCCACCAGTAATAAGTTTTCTTTGATAAGCAATGGTAAGTGACATGCTGGGGATATATTTTTTCTTAATTAATTAATTAACTTTTTATCTTCTTCCCACCCTCCCCAAGGGGAAATATTTTGACTATGAACTCTTCTATTAGAAAACAAAGGAAGTTTGGATAAATGTTTCATTTTACCCTTTGATTCTGTTTAATGTTGGTGAAATGAAAAGAATAAGCAGATAGGGGGAGGATTGTACTTTATTTATTTATTTTTAAATTTCAAAATATTAAGGGGCCATAAATATTTTTGTTACATGGATGAATTGAATAATGCTGAAGTCAGGGCTTTTAGTGTGTCCATCACCAGAATAATGTACATTGTAACTGACAGGCAAATTTTTATCCCTTAACTCCCTTTTACCCTTCCCCACTTCTTGGTTTCCAATGTCCATTACGCTACTTTATAACCATATATACCCATCATTTAGCTCCCACTTATTAGTGAGAACATACGTTGTTTGTTTTTCCATTCCTGAGATACTTCACTTAGGAAAATGGTCTCCAAGTTCTATCCAAGTTGCTGCAAAAGACATCATTTCATTCCTTTATATGGCTGAGCAGTACTCCATGGTGTGTGTGTGTGTGTGTGTGTGTGTGTGTGTGTATACTATATTTTCTTTATCCATTAATGTATTGATGGGCACTTAGATTGATTCTTTTATGTTTGCAGTTGTGAATTGTGCTGTGATAAACATGCGGGTGCAGGTGTCTTTTTGATATAATGACTTTTCCTTTGTGTAGATACCTAGTAGTGGGATTGGTTGATTGAATGGTAGACCTATTTTTTGTTCTTTGTGGAATCTCCATATTTTTTTCCTTAGAAGTTGTACTAAAATGAGATTGAATAGACCACTGAATTCAGCAGACCTAGAATTTGAGAGTGGGATGGGTGTGGTGGACATGCAGTACAATGTAGGTAATGAAATAAAACAGAAACTTTAAAAAATTTTTGTAGTCTAATTTACTTACAGTAAAGTACACAAACCTTAGCTCATTGAACTTTTTAATATGTAAAACATTTCTGTTCACTTTGGAAGGTTTCCTCTTGCTCCTTCCCAGTAAACACAACCTTCCCTCAACTTCCCACCCGTAGAGCTAGCCACTGTTCGTATAAACGTGTACTCTATTGTTTCTGGCTTCTTTTCATCAACATAAAGACTGTGATATTCTTTTATATTATTACATGTATGGGGAGATTATTTTTTATTTTTTTGTTGCTGTGTGTTATTCCAATATACAATTATTTATCCTGTTAATGAACAATTAGATAGTTTCAAGTTTTTTCCTATTATTAATAAAGCTTCTATGTAAATATGATGAAATAAAAAAATAAAGCTTCTATGTACATTTTTTGAACACGTATTTATCTGAACTATGCAAATATTTCTTTTGGGGATATACTAGATGTGGATTTGCTGGATAACAGGGTAAGCATATGTTTAGTTTTTATAAATACTGCCAAACTGTTTTCAAAAAAGTTTGTTGAGTCCAGTTGCACTGCCATCAGCAATGGCTGACTGTTCCAGTTGTTCTACATCCTCATTAACACTTGATATTTTTATTTTATTTACTCTGGTGTGTGCAGGATGCCTTTTGGTTTTAATTTTCATTTTCCTGATGGGTAATTATATTGAGCACTTTTTTGTATGTTTGTTGCCTGTTTAGATATCTCCTTCTGTGAAGTACCTATTCAAATCTTTTGCCCATTTGAAAAAATAGGGTTGGTAGTTGTTTTCCTATTGATTTGAAGAAATTAAAAAAATTCTACATGTAAGTCCTTATATATATGTGTGTGTGTATGTATGTGCATGTATATATGATATATGTACATATGTTTAATATATACACATACAATACATACATAAGGATATATTTCTGTATGTATGAATATATCTATGTACTATATATTTTATCCTTACATATGTGTGCATGTACTATGTATAATATATATGTGTATATGCATATATGAGTATACATGAATATATATAACTTGATCTATATGTCTGTATCTCCTCCCATACTGTGACTTGCTTATTATTAGTGGTATCTTTTTTTTTTTTTTTTTTTTT